CGCTCTACTTCTGCATTACTTATAGGCAAAACAAGAAAACTAAAAACCAGGTTGGAAAGGTCAGCAAAAGGGTTTTCTCCTAGGGCATTTCGAAATTGATAAACTTCGGCCCAAAATTTTACAGTTGAGTCTAAATTACTCCAGGTATGTAACGTTAACCGTTGCCATTGCATCTCTATGGATGTTATTTCGTCGGCATTATATTTGTGTTTTTGTTGCTGTAGTTGAACAAATACTTTTGGTTTAATTACTCTTAATGCATTTCCCACCGAAAAAAGTCAATTTTTTTTTTAGTGTGGCAATATTTGTAGGGAGGCGTTGGCGTAATTCGTTTATTAAAGTGATAATAAAATAGCGACCATTTTCTCGAATTATTTTCTCGGCTTCGTGGTCAAAAGCGTTTGTGCTTACTTTTGTTTTTAAATACTCTTCAAAACTGTGATAAAACTGAGGAAATGGAGCAAGGTATGGTTCCAACGGGGAGCATATAGGATCAAATGTATCCGCGCTAATAACCACTAGGGAGCATAGATGCGAAAGTAAAACATTGAGTTCATTAAAAATCTTCATTGAGTCTGCATTATTGCTTTCGAACAACTTGTTTACTTTTTGCACCTGAAAATTAGGCAAATAGTAAAATCGGCTAAAAACGGCTAACTTTTTTTTACAAACCGGCTAACAAATCGGCTGCCGGCTAGTTGCTATCAAAACCGGCTAAATCTAGCCGGAAAACGGCTAAAATGGCAACGCTGGCGTGCAGCTACCTCAAACTCATATCTCTCTCCCGAACCCACTACGTGCGTTTGCTTTCGCTTATGCATTCTCTTTTTACTCTCAGCTACAATCCAAGCAGAATCAACAGAGCCCGGCGAAGAGTTCAATTGGTGCGAAGTAAAAGTCGGCAATGGCCCGTTGTTGTGTGATACACAACACTTGTCGTTAGAAGAGCAAGCAGCATTTACACTACCACCAAATGAACGACCAGGTAACTCAGAGCTAATACGAATGCTAGGCAAAACAGACGGAGAGATAGACTCCGACGCAGCAGCAACAGTGGACGAAGCATTCGATGAGGTCTGACGCAAAACATCAGCACAACTGCCGGTAGCAGACGTAGGCACAGCTGTTAGCGTTGAGTCAGCAGAGTTATCAGCCACTGGTAGCGCAGATGTGATATTAGCAGCAGAATTAACGGAAGTGCGAAGAGGAGATTACAGATCCACACCTATAAGCTGTGTTTGAACATTGGCTTAAGGTTTTTCGCATGATGATTTATAGTTACATGCGTTACACATATTTACACGTACAGATTTAATCTCAGCAGAAAGTACGGCCACTGTAGAGGCCAACTCATCGTAACGCATACTGTTGAGTAACACTCGAAATTCAGCCTGCAGAGATTCAGTTATTTTCCTCATTTGAATATTGTCGTCATGTAGGGATTTGGCAATAGCAACTACTCGGGCATTTTCAGCTCGAATAGCGGCCATTTCGTTAAAAACAGACTGCATGGTTGAATTTTGATTGGTGTCAAAATCACCCTCCTTAAGCAAAGTATCCACATCAGATTGAGTCGAAGAGTTCGATTTCCGTGCCGTTGGCATAAGAGTAGCAGGTACATGCGCGCCGAATATAATATTAGAAGAAGCAGAAATATTTACCAGTTCGTTAGCACAATTAGAAACAGCAACATTATCCGGAACTATGAGAGGTGGCGAGCGAAGAGATTCGCGCCGAGCGGCCAAATACAAATTACAAAAGAAAGGCTTGTTGGAATTTAGCAAAAACTCAGCATCTGTCGGTAAGATCTTGGCACACTCAAGGTGCAAGAGTTCGATGCACTTTGCACATTGCACTTTGGACTGGTGACGATCGACTTTGTGGCCACAAACAGAAGGTATAATGATTGAATTTGAGATTAAACAAAGCACAGGTTTGCAAAAGTTAGAGTCACTATCTCATTTCCATCAGACAAAAAATTTGCCAGCTTTTAAGAATGTATGCAAATGAAGGAAAAATTATATACCTCCTCGCGACACAAACAAAAAGCAGCGTTTGCAAGAGTGATCAAAAACATGTCCGTACCGACCACTTACTCGTTATTTGAGTTAGACGCAACCATAGAGCTTATAACATTAAAAAATATTTTGAAGTTATTGTAATTCCTGGCAAAGTTGACCACTCACTAGACCAAAACTTCCTAAAGTAGGTTCCAGGGAATCCAAGGTAAATATTTCTTCGCTTGGTCGCTTCGCACTCACCTTGGTCACATACACACTTTGTTTCCGCTTTAAAGTAAAGACTTATTTTAGGTTTTAAAAATGTACAAAAGTTAGACTTAGTTTATTTTCTGTTGATGAAATTTAGTCACAGAGCCAGAGTTTATTTAGCTTGATATTCGGACCTCAAATTCAAAGGTACATATATATTTGTATATGTATTTATATATAATGTATTGGGCAAATCGATGCAAACCCCATGTTGACTTCGATAACTAGTTTTGATAAGGGCGCATGCGCGTAGACCGGCGTTAATAGCTGAACTAACTTTCGTCTAACTTGGCACGATGATGGTAGGCGGCCGTGCGCGCTCGGCCGCTGAATTAAGTTTAAGCGGCGGCTTAAACACAAGGGTTTCGTAGAAAAGTCCCAGGGCTCCATAAAGTCGTTAATTTTTGGCAGTTCAATAATTCAACAGATACATAAGTACAAATCGGGGACCAGCCACCATCGCTTAAAATTTGCCATGAATAAGCATGGTGGTCGGCAGTCAATTTGAGTTGCACACGTAAAGTTGTATAAACAGCATGACAGATGCAATTATTCTTTTTCGAGTATATGTAATCGTAATTGGTATCATTGCCATATTGAGTGCCATTGCGTTGAGCGTTGCGCTTGTAAGCTTGTTTTTTTTCTAATTTGTATTTAGTGTGGGCTCTATTATATTAAAAGTTTAGGAACAGCTGCATTTGACAAGTACATGAATGAATTGGATTTGGCTTTACAGAGCATTGCATTAATAACGTTTCCAAACCATTAAAAATTCTTGTTATTCTTGCCCAAACCAGAAGGTTTGAAGTATATAGATCATAATAACGGGACCATATAACCACTACGTTCCCATCGTTGGTCCTGAGAAACTTTGAACGTGGTTCACATAACTCACCTTTATACATTAAGCTTTTTATTGCCAATAGGTCTTGATAATACTTTCATATTCCAATAATACTCAAATTTCAGCCTCAAAACAATTTTCGTAATGTAACGGGGGAAAATTTTAGTTTGGCATCCCCCGCGTACAAAAAAAAGGTGGCTATGGGGAGGTAGGGGGAGTTCTCCTGATTGCAAATATATATACTTTTAGCCGCAGGAGGCTTATAGTTTTTAAGTTATTTGTTGTTAAAGTTTGTAAATTGAACTAACCTCTCGGCGCTATTTCACACAATAAACACTATATTTATGTAGACACTTCGGCAAAATAGTTACATTAAAACCCCGCACAATGAAATGTAAACATATTTTTTACATTTATGATGTATTTTTAGTAAATTAAGTAAGTTTTAATAATTATCACGCACTTATATATGTATACGCACATTGTGAATACAGAACCGTTGATTCAACCATGGTTTCACACTGACATTAGAAGAGTGCAGCCATATCTAAGAAAATAACAATAGGAGCGTTCCTTATCTCCCAGAAATAGTCAGAAAAAGTCCGAAGTAGTCAGATTTAGTCCAAAAAGCGTTCCTTAACTCGAAAATGACAGCATGAGAGAGCAACACTCAGTGAGAGTGACTCTCATCAGTCCGAAGTAGTCAGATTTAGTCAGAAGAATTTTTTCTGGCAAAAGCCTGAAAAGTGTCAAACTCAACTAAATTTAAATTAACGGAAATTAAAGAATACGCAAAAAGTGAGAATAATCCAAAAAGGGAAAAAAGGGAATTGAAATTGGAAGGAGGCAAAAAATAATTGATACAGTATGTGTTTATTGTGCTTGTGCTTGTGTGAATGTGTTTGTACATACATTTCCATTCTTATTTGACCTTAGTTTTGTTGTTGCAATTCTTTGGACTAAAAATTTGGTTTTTTGCGTTCCTTTACTTTTTCTGTTATTCTCTTTTAGTGAGCGCAATTTGCTTACGCTCTGGCATTTTGACACTTTTCAGATTTTAGTCCAAAAAGATAAGGAATGAACCTAATAAAAGAGAATAGTTTTTATCGTACCCATTTTCCTGCTCAGCGTTGAATTAGTAGTAAAGGAGGGTATGGGGTTAAATACCCCCAGTATTTAAAAAAACCGACAAGCGCCGCAGGGGACAATTTTTCATTATTTATCGAAGTATTGATTTTTATGGAAAAATCGCGCGATTTTTTATTAAAAATTTTCATTATTTATCAAGTATTGATTTTTATGGAAAAAGCGCCGCAGGCGAAAATTTGTAATAAAAAATCGCGTGATTTTTTATTAAAAATTT